TCTAAAAATACGATACAAAGAACTTATTTACAAAACAGAAACAGACTCACTGACATAGAAAACAAACATGGTTACCAGGGGGTAAAGGGAGAGATGGAAAGATAAACTGGGAGTTTGAAATTTGCAGATACTAACTGCTATATATAAAATAGATAAATAGTAAGACCCTACTGTATAACACAGGTAACTATACCCAATACCTTATAATAACCTATAATGAAAAAGAATATGAAAAGATATATATATATATACACATACACACACACACACACATATAACTGAATCGCTATGCTGTACACCAGAAACTAACACAACATTGTAAATGGACTATACTTCAATAAAAAAAAAAGAAATCTCATTTTGATGGTGTGTAGGACTACACTTTGAAAAAATGTTAAAATTGTGATCTGAAATACTGGCATGTTCAGTATGTTTTCTTTTATATATTGATGATGGAAAGATTCTGTCCATCTATTCAGATGTGGAGAGTGTTGTATAAATGAAGGATCGATTTCAGCCCATTATCAAGATTGCATTTTGTGTTGGGCTTGCTCAGCACTGGGTTTAGGTAGTAACAACGAATCCTCCATCTCCTGAGACTCCTTAATGCTTAGTGTGCTTGTATCAATACCAGGGAAAGGATATTTCCTTGCCCGATCTATTCACTCCTGGCGAGGAGCTTACAAAGTCACATTTAGAAAATGTACACACTAGACAGTAACTATTTGTTGAACATCCGGGGCATCCTCTCACCTTTGCACCTGCTATTCCCTTGGTCTGAGATATCCCCAGGTCCCCCTTCTTCACTTCAAGTCTTTATTCAAATGTCGCCCTCTCAGTGAGCCACATCCCAGGGCACCCTACCCTTGCATTTATCATTATCTAATTATTGATTCCTTCTATCTCCTTGCAAGGGCCACGGTGGCTGAGATTTTTGTCTGTTTGGCTCACTGCTGTATCCCTACGGCTTAGCACAGTGCCTGGCACAAACTGGTTTTTATTAGTTGAATGACAATAATGAATTGAATTGATAAAATTGTACATATGCCACTTTTATTTGGGCATAATTTGTCTGTTTGTGAATACTCTAGACCCCAATTTGAACTGCATCGAGGGACATAGATGTTAAGGCTGAACAACTGTGAGTCTGTGACTGTGCAGAAATATGACACAGGAAGGGCCCCACAGACCTACTACGGGAGGTGCCAGGTATCACCGGGGTCAGGAGTCTCTTCTGAGTTCTGCAAACCAGTTTCACTGTTTGTGCAGGTGGGGCTGTTGCTGCAGAGTGGACCAGGCACTTTAAGGATGCCCTGTTACCCCAGGCCCCTGAACTCAGTCCCCAGACTTTTCCGCCTTTTCTTCACCCCTATTCTTGCTCTGTTCACACTGTCAAGGTCGAAAGTGGGACCTGTGTTCTCTGGCTCTTGACCCCTAATTTCAAAATCCAAATCCTGCACATTTTTAAGCTCACCTACTGGTTGAGTTAAACAACCGATTTCATGTTTTATTCCTCCAAGCAGCCAGAAGGCTGTCTGAGTGTGGTTGCTATGATATCTGACTTTTGCTACCCTTTAATTACATCTTAGCAGGTTTTGGTAGGAACTCAGCACTTAGGAACATGCAAGAATTTTTTGAAGTTGAGCCTATCATTTTTAACGCTCATTGGCAGGTGCCAAAGGTACCTTCTGGTTGTGATGTCCCTTTTGCCTGGTTCAGTATTTTCAGCCATCCTGAGGCTTCTGTTCGTCTTTTTGGATTGTGGCATAATCTCTAGAAGGTCTCTGTAAAGTGAAAATATGTTACCTTGGTGGATAAGGCGTTCACCCAGGAATCCTCACTGGCATGGTCTCTTTTTTGGAATATCTAGCGGAGGAGCAGAGAGATCCCTGATAGCATGGGCACCAGAATGGTGCGTGTTGATGGAGGTGTGTGGTAGGGGAGGATAGTTTGGAGCCTGGGAACTGGGGCATTGACTGCAGACAGCAGACATGAGCAGATGGCACTAGAAGAAGCCATGACTCAGAAGGAGCTTGATGTGTGGGAAGAAGGGGGATCAGAAGAGCAACAAGAGAACATAAAAGGAGAGGCATGTGGCACCAAAAAGAACTCTCAAAGATTTCTTCTGGGACCTTCTACAGCCTGCCCTGCAAGACGATACGGGCTTTTCTCTTTAAATGGAGAATGGTGAATAAATCATCATCTTAGAAGATTCCTGAGCTGTGAGAATAGGTCCAATATATTTGGGTTCACAGTCCTATTTAGCTCCTTTCTTTTTTCTAATTAATGATTGGTTTGGGCTTGGAAATGAATTGACACCCCCATCTTATTTTCCCCCAGGTCTTCTTTCATGCAAGTTGTGTTGAACGCAGAGCTATTTAATATTTAATATTCTCTTTTCCTCCTCAATCCCAAGCCCCCTCATTTTGTAGATCTGAAGTCATTATGGTGTTACGGAGTGGTGGGTGCAAGGCAAAAGAGACAGGGCTCAGTGTACGGGGGTCATGGGTTCAGGGAGTAACCCTGGTCCTATCACAGATTGCGTTGACCTATAAAGAGTGTTGCTAATCCTCTTACTGTGTGCCTCCCAAGAGATACAGGAGGAGAAATGAGGTAATGTCTACTTAGACTTTCGAGCTTCTCGGAAGAACAACATTCTACAATAATATGATTTCCTAAAACATTTGTTTGTGTCGTAATGGACTATAATTCCGTTTACCCAAATTTCTTAAGATTCCTCTAAAATATCTGGCAGGAAAGCAGTCTGGCTTTGAGCATAAGAACTGAGCCTAGACTAGAACCCTTATAAAGTACAGGTGAGCCAGCTCTAAATTTACAAGGTGCAGGGAAGGAAGCTGGAAGAGGGAGGAAGGGGAGTTATAGGTGGTGATGGCAGGGTGGTGGTTGTAATTATTTTCAGAGAGTTTATAGCCCTATGTTTTAAGTTGCCTTCTTTTTCATTGAAGTATAGTCATTTTCCAATGTTGTGTCAATTTCTGGAGTACAGCATCATGTTTCAGTCACACATATACATACATATATTTCTTTTTCATTATAGGTTACTACACGATGTTGAATATAGTTGCTTGTGCTATACAGAAGAAACTTGTTGTTTATCTATTTCAGTGTTGATAACATATTTTTAAATCATGTTGTTTCACTAAAGATCAACATGTCAATACATTTTAAAATATATGCATTTATTTTAATTGAACAATGTTGCATATTGGATGACTCACCTGCAACATCGTTCCTGCCATCCTTCTGCATGTTGATAGACTGTTTGACCCACCCCCTTCAAGATTTAGTATATATCATGTTCCTTGGGCCACAACCTGGTTGTTAATAACTAGTTTCTGAGTCTGATACAGCAATTCCATACAAACACCAACAAATTTGTAGATTTATTTGGAAGGTACCTAGTAAGTTACTAAACAATCCTTTACCTTTGTTCTATAGAAAAAGAAATAACGTCTTCTTTTATTGAGGTGGTCATGAACAGTGAATTTTTATGTAGTCTTTTTGAGCAGCATTACAATTGAGTTGGTGTTCTAGTCAGTCCAAAAAAGAGAAATTAAAATAAAGGATGGAAAGTGAGGGGATGTATACATGTCTGTCAACTCTGAAATACTATAAAAATATCAATCAGGTTGCAATGATCATTATCAGGCAGTTTTGTGAAATTTTCTGGAAGCAATTGGTTCTTTAGCACTTCCAACCCAGTGTTCCAAAATGTTAGCCTTCTATGAATTTTAAGTAACTACTGTGTTAACCAGGAAAGAAAGCAGTATGTCTTCTCTTCCAGAGAGGTGACAATATATACTCTTCAATAGCAAGTGATTTGTATTTTTAGGGCAATAATACTGATCATGTTCCTTTCTCTGGGAAGGGGGAAGAACAGTGTTACAACTTGCCTTTACTGAATTATAGACTATAATGCAGAGAGAGCACGTTCTGTCACCCAAAATGTGGCATGAAAAAATAAATTCCCACCAAGTTGTGTGTGGTGTGCCAGGGACATATGAAAAAGGTCACTTTGTCTCTCAAATTAAGAAGAACATCTTGGATAAGGAAATGATATGGAATACTCTGGAACTGCTCTTAAGACCAAAATAATCTTTTACTAAAAAATTATGACTCAGACATACAGTTCATATCAAGTTAGATTGTAAATAATCTTAATAAAACCACATTTTTGTCCGAGGAGGTCATCGAGAGGATGTGACCACCAGTTGACCCAAGAGCCAGACCCTGGCCATTGGAGGATCCTCACCCCCTCCCTGTCCTTGAAATGTATGCTCTGCCCACCGATCCCACACTGGGAAGCATTTTCAAGGGCACAGCCTCAAGGGAGCAATGTGTTGTTGAGACCATACGTGATTGAACCCAGTTAAGGCCTCTACATAAACTTTGAAAATTATAGGGGGCAAAGGTGGAGAGACACCTGTCTTATGAATGCCAAGACAGGTCTTTTAAGTAAGTTCCCTTGCTTATTAAACCTACCACCTACCAGTCTGGAGTGGCCTGCCTCTTTCTTCAGTCTCCCCTTGTCTTCTGTACGGGGGCCAGGTTCAGATTTCACCTGGGGACGCTCCCGAGGTTGCAAAGCAGCAATTTTCTGTCCCTGCAATTAGCTAAAATTTGAATGAGCATTTCTGAGTGTTAAACATGTGCAGTTTTATGTGCCCATGTAAAACTTCATGATACATTTATGAATTTCTGCAGTTGTGTATGAACATAGCTAAGGCACACTAAAAAAAAGAGGTTGAAAAATGTCCACTTTATATCGATCTGTTAAATTGTGATGTTTTATTTGAATTTGTTTCAGAATCGAAGCAAACGCCTGGAGAAAGTCCACGTGGTTATTGGACACAAATCATGTGACTTGGATTCTCTCATTTCTGCCTTCACTTACGCTTACTTTCTAGACAAGGTGAGAGAAAAGATGATGATGCTTTTTATATTTGACTTATGATGTAACTTTTAAAAACAAGCATTTTCTCGAAAATCCAGGGACCTGTTAACGTAGTTTTTCAGGATCTGGTTTGTTGCTGCAGAGAATAAAATGCATTATAATCCCTTAGTCCACAAACATCTATTAGTCACTTACTGTACGTTAGGCATTGTTCTAGTTATTCCTTGCTGATTCCCTGCATAAATCATTATTTTGATAAGATCCATTTTTTTCAAATACAAAATTTAAAAATTTTATAATAGTTGATTGATTTTATGGAAATTCAGAGAACTGACAAAAGCAACGGTCAGAATTTCTTGTTATCCTTTATCATCCTTGTTGGGTAATCTTGCCCTCTGGAGTAGAAAAATATGCGCAGAATAACCTGCATGAACATTACGTGAAGTCGAGAGCAGATTGGCTGGAATTTCCAGTAATAGAGGTATTACATGTCACACCTATAGTCTGTTTTTGCCTTTTAGTCTTTGTACAGCAAGGTCATTCTCAGTTAGTGGTAATCTCCCTTGAGCAAGATCTTTGCACTTGGTGAGGTGGTACTATAACATGCCAACAGAGATGGAAAAGGCCTTTTTTTTTTTAAAATAAATAGTTTTAAAATTTCCATTCCATAAAATTCATCAGCCCATATTAATACATTGTCTTAAAGCCTAAAAAATTGTATTATGAGTGTCCCAGTGCTATTTCCAATTTCACACAATCTTTAATTTTCCAGAGACCAATTTGTTTCTATTCCAGTTTTGCTTGGATTTTTGGCTCTGAGTGTATGCATAGCTGATCTAGAATGATTAAAACTAACATGAAACCCAGTCTTCCAGAATGAACTATAGGTGGCAAGGATGTCTTTAGGGCAGCAACTGACAAAAATGCCACATAAAATATTTTGATCTCTATGTATGGCTTTCTATCATATTTATCTTAAAACTTGATAAACTTTACTTGGGAGATTAATTTGTATGAGGAGAGAAATGTATCTGTGTCAAAACACACATATTAAATACTAATCTTATTAACTAGAGTTTTTGACTCCTAGAAAAAAGTGTTGCTTGTCTTGAACACATAGAGTTGGCTGAACCAGACTGGTTTTTTGGACTGATGGTGGCATGAACTCTTAAGGAAATTATGTAATAAAAATGACACCACTACCAACTAAAATGTCTTGAATGATTATAATAACGTTCAACAAAAGGAGTGGGAAAAGTAGTTGTGATAGAAAAAATAGACAAGGAGACATGTGGCCTCTTTTCTCCTTCTAAGACTTGCTAAAAATGAGCATGGGAACAAATATAGAATTGGTGAAGAGTCACATACTGGGGATTTGTTAAATATCTGTATCTTCCTCTTAATTTGTTGGACCCTGCCTCCATCACAGGTCTGCATCTCCATTTTAATTTTTCCTAGGAATCTCGCTACTCCCTTTCAGAGTATTAACACATAGGATAAATGCAGGGTTTTGCACCTTCTTGTGTATGACTCTGTTTAAATACTTTTCACTCTGGTAGGTTGAAGCCCCTTTCTACAGATAGGGAAAACTGAGGCTCAGAAAGGAAAATGGCTTTCTCAAAGTCACACAGCTGAGACTGGGGCTAGAACCTAGTTCTACTGACTCCAACCTCAGAATAGGTCCTGCCAGGATAGGCTCAGGACTCATGTTCCACTATCAGGAGTTGGATATAATTATCAATTATATCAATTAACAAGAAAAAATAACTTGCTATGCATAAATGATTATTACTAATCTATGTTGTATGCTAATACAATCTATAGTAACCATATATAAGTAATATATAATGTATGTATATAATACATATACAATAAATTATAATGTCTATATAATATAATAACCTATATATTATGCTAATGATTATTAAACACTTGTGATTGTGTAGTAGCTTGACAGGTGAGAAAAAAAACTTTGTTGGAATGGCTTTGTGCTTTGCATACCATGTAGCAGTGAGTGATTCATTTGTTTCACTCAGTAAATATGTGTTAAATGTCTACTTTATGCCAGACTGTCTTATGTACCTAGAAACATAACAACAAAAAAAGACAGAAATCCCTTATAGGAAGGAGAGATGGATGATAAAGATGTTAAAACTGTGTAATAAATCCTATGCTTGTCACAGAGCTTGTGGTGGTGTGAGAACAAAGCCCATTTACTTTATGCAAAAACTCAGTGTTTCCAAACCCCACATTCTCTCACTGATATTTAGGGTTTATTGCCAGACACTCACAGTAATTTTTTTATGTTTTAAGTTATTTTTGTGGGGGAGGTAATTAGGTTTATTTATTTATTTTAATGGAGGTACTAGGGATTGAACCCAGGACCTCATGCATGTTAAGTGCACACTCTACAACTGAGCTATATACCCTCCTCCTACTCTTAGTAATTTTTAAAAGCACCTTCATTTTAAAAATTCCTATGGAAAAATAAGTTTATTATTGTGAATCTGAAATTCTCTAACTTCTACCCATCTCCTGTTTTCCTCATTACTACAGTTTTCTTTTTAAAAAACAAGAGATTTGTTAACATAAGATTTTTTTAAATAACATAAGAAATTAACAGAGATCACAATCCAGTAGTCTGTGGGCCAAATATGGCTCGTAAATGAGTGTTTACTAGCCTACGCAGTATTTTTAATTTAAAAAATGAATGGAAACAATTAAGCATCACAGATAAGACCCCAAATCTAGAATTCTAGCTTTTATTGAGTAATTGACAGATGCACCTATTCTGGACCTGAATTTTTTGCGTGGAAACAACTGGCTGGAGCCAAGTGACCGACATCCCATATAGAAGAGTTGAAATGAGATATAAAGTATTTCGAGTAAGGCAGGAGCGATTTCACGTAGAGTAACAAGAGGTTAAAAAATATTAGGGGACACTCACACATGGAAAAATGCTCTGCTCATTGGGTTCCAGAAACGTTGGTTACAGATGTCACATGGTTTAGCAAGGCCAAAGGACTTCTGTTTCCCTTACCATTCGCCTCAGGTTTGTGAAAATGCACTTGTATTTCTCCCCCCTTCTGTTGTCAGTGACTTGGTCAGCATTTTGTGTGTGTGTGACGGTTTGCTATATAACTTATTTCTGGAAGTTAAAGTAGATACAGCAGTATATATATATTAAAAAAAAAGAAAAACCACAATAATGTAAATCGGTCAACTTTTTTCTTGGCAGGTCAGCCCACCTGGGGTTCTCTGTTTGCCTGTGCTGAACATACCAAGAACTGAATTCAACTACTTCACTGAGACAAGGTTTATTTTAGAAGAGTTAAATATCTCCGACTCATTCCACATATTCCGTGATGAAATTAATCTGCATCAGCTAAATGATGAAGGGAAGTTATCTATTACACTTGTTGGCAGCAACGTGTTGGCAAGGTAAGGCTCCCTGTGAGGCTCTTCCTGTGGGGGGCGTGTTGATCTTTTAACAAAGGTTCTTCTGTGCAAAGGATTATATTGTTTAGGATGTTCGTGGTTTAGGGAGATGTATTAAAGCCAGAGGACATTCAGAGGAAAGGGAATATGTTTTTTATTTTTCTTACGGCAAAATTTGTTCTATGCCAATCCTTTGTTTTTACTTTGGCATTGCAAGTATGACATCTTTGAGTGGAAAGTTCTTGTAAAATTGACCAAAATTATAATTTTAAACCATTTCAAACACTTTCTTATAGCAACGCAACAGTCCTATGTGTTGATGCTGAAAGTGTATGATGAAAATTGATATTAAACACTAAATGAAACTGAGAGGTTCTTAAGACCGAAATCTCAGTAGTGAAATGAAAAATTATGTAGACGGTCTATGAAAGTCATTTGCTCATTGGCTTATTTATCCATAGCATTTTATACTATAGAAGCGGATGGATTTTTGAAAGTTCATGTAATCTGAATGGCTTATTTTATGGACAAGCATCCCGAAACCCAGTGTTGCAAATGACTTGCCTGAGGTACCACGTCCAGTTAGTAGAATAGTTTGGATTAGAACTTGGGTATTCTACCTCCTTCAACAAGTACTTAGGAGCTGCTAACTGACATATGGATTTACAGGTACACAAAGAGGAAAAAGACAAACTTCCTGCCTTCAAGGACCTTACAACCCATCACGAAGATTCCCATTTTGATGAGCTCTTGGTTGCTAATGAATGAAGAGTCCTGAGTTAAACACCCCAGTAGTCTGAGATGATAGTTTTTTTGCGTACTTTGCCAGTTTGCTAATCCTTGATGGCATTAACTAGTAGACATTGACCTTAGTATATATGAAATAAAAACTCATACAAGTATCTCATTTTTCACTTACTCTTTTTAAGGAAGCGTATTTAGGTATGAATACATTGTAGTATCAGTCATGCCGTTCACTCAGTTGTAAAGACTTTGGAAAGTAATCTGCTGGTGTTGAGCTGTTTTTACCCGCATGATGTTTGAAATATACAACATGTTTTGAATAGTATTTATCAGTCAATTGTTGACAACTGAGAGTTATCCATAGATTATTTGACTGACTTCAGTTTTCAGGGTTCAGGGTTATCACATTCGTGACTTAATTTATGTGTTGAATTAATTTATGTGCTAACTTTTTCAAACCAACTATAGTGCAAGTAGATATGGACAAAAACAATGCAAGAAGCCAAAGGACTGAACTGTGAAAGATGTGTGTTAGTCAAAATCTTAAGGAGAGTTTTGTTATTGGTTATACAGAAGAATGTATGCTGGTTTGGAGACTGAAGTTGTGAAGTCTAACTTTGGGATTGTTTATGAAATAGAATGTTTTTCAAAAATAAATTGAGCTCTTTGTCTCCTTCATTGCCACGCTTTTGTTTTTGTCAGACAGAAAGAATGAAGTTAGTTTTATTATCTTTCTTCCCGCCTTTGATAAAAGCCAACTCCATCTCATGTGAAAAACATGATGTGGAAATAAATAAGCCTGTAGTATTTCTTCTCTAACATCACAACTGGATATGCAAATTTGGAACCAGATAGAGTTTAAATACAAGTACTCTATTGACTAGCTGTGTGACCTTAGGTCATTTTTTATTTTATTTTATTTTTATACGATTTTTAAATACTATACTCCATTTACAGTTATTACAAAACCTTGGCTCTGTTCCCTGTGTTGTATTGGTCACACATCTTAACTTTTTCATGCTTCTTTCCCCCCACTTATTAAAATGGGAATTTTAATAGAACCCATCAGACAGGGTCATTTTATAATGTAAGACATGCTAATACTCTGACAGTGTTTATAGCAAGGTCTGGCTTGTAGGGGAAGCTCAAGCACGTTAGCTATAACAATCATTACTGTTGTTGTTGTTACTATTTTCCAACAGCAAAACAAGAGACAGAAGTGCTCAGGTATGAAGTCCTCCTAAGGCTCTCGGGGAGGTCATTAGTTGAAATTAATGTCAAAACACATAGAATAATGTTCCACTCTTCTGAGTCATGTGAGCTTCCTTGTATTTTTGGCTATTGAGAGGAAGTACTTTGCGTGGGAGCAGAGATTCAATAATTCCAAAAAGTAAGAAAACATGCCATCTCTCTTTCTCTTCCTCTCCTCCGCTCGCTCTCCAGTGAGGACAAAGCCTTAGAATCAGCAGTCGTCAAGGTCATTAATCCAGTTGAGCAGAGCGATGCCGGCTTTGAGTTCCGAGAGTCTTCCTCCTCTCTGGTGGTGAAAGAGATTCTCCAGGAGGCTCCCGAGCTCATCACCGAGCAGCTGGCTCATCTGCTCAGAGGTGAGAGATGACTCTTTCTATTAAATACTGGAAGGCTTAATGGAGTGTCTCTTGACTTGCTCATGCGGAAAGAGTGCGATCCATTCTTGGGTTAACAATCCCTTTAAAGACCACGGGAAGCTTCATCAGAGAGGCAGGGAGTAAAGAGTTTGTTAAAGAGTAGCATTATATTGAGTATTAAAAATGTGCATTTAAAAATAGGCATGAAGGCTCTTTGCTGTTTCACTAGACGAGAATATTAAATGGAACCGTGGCACCTCTGTTGGGGGGTTGGAGTAGCTCCTCCGGCTGTGTAGCAGCTTCCAGGGGCGACTCTTGCCCCACAGCAGCATGAACAAGGGCCGGAATTGCACATTCCTGCATTGAAATACCTCCTGTGCTGAGACATGCTTCGCTTACATAATGCTGTTTGGATGGCAAAATTACGCACCTTTCATTTTGGTGATACTGTGCAGGGCTCTTAAGTCAAACTGCCACCTCTTTCTCCCCCCTATCTTGTAGCATTTTCTGTCTTCACTTAGCCTGCTTTAAGCACTGTGTTCCCCGTGACGCCGTCATCAGTGATCCTCCTAATCTCTTTTCCATCTTTGTCAGTGGAGTCCAATGCTTCTGAAAAGTGGTTCCCAAGCTGGAAATTGTTAATGACTTTGGTGCCACAAAATTACCACCAAAATTCCATATTGTCTCATGTAGGAGAGTTTGGGGGTTGTATAAAGCCTTTTTCTTTCAACAATCCATCTTGAATATGGTAGACATAGATTTTTCTTAGAAGTATTTGACACAGGAAAGTGGAAAACAGTGACTAACAGGCTGACAGCATTAAAAAAGGAAGGAGAAGCCCAAGAATATGTTGATGACCCTTTTAAGAGCTTCTTCCTTTTGCTTCCTCTGTCTCTACCAGAATTTGGAGGGGAAAAAGTCAAGACTTACATAATTCCTATAAATGTTTAAGAACCAGTGGCCCCAGGAAACCTGGTTTAAATACTTTTCTGGCTATGGACATCTGTGAAATTGCTTTATGGAAAGCTGTACCTTCAACTAAACTAAGTAGCACAATCATTATCTCTGTGACAGTGGAAGGAAAATAAAGGCAATTGGAGATCTTGTCCAGGAGGGAAGTTGTTTGGCAGTGCAGATGTGTGATGCAGGCAAACACTAGAGAATATGCTGTTTAAATATTTTGCAAACTAAGAAGCTGGGTTTATTATTCAAAAAATACAAATGTGGTCATTGATTAGCTCATCATGATTTTCTATAAACAGTAAAATAATGTCAAACTGTACTACACTGGAACAAAGTTTATGATTTTGTCGATAGTGATGACGATGTTCAGATTTGGGAAGCTAGGAAGGATGCTTTTGTTAGTTACCTTAGTTCTAGTTTGCAGAGCTACCAAGAACGAGAACTGTGGTAAAGGACCTTGGTTTTTCTCATCATCAGAGATTTTTCATAACTTTGGGCTTAAAGTGGCATTAGGAAGCTGGCAGGATAGGGACATCACTTCCCTGTTGCTTGGAAATTGGAAAGTGAGCGGATTCAGTGCCCCTGTCTGTGAAGGCTGCCAGTGCAGAGACTGTCATGAGAAAGTCAGGGTCACTGCAGCCTGGGAGGTAGAAGGTGGCTTATCACAGTGGAAAGAGGGCTCTGGAGAGCTTTGGCCAAAGTGTGCACGTGTGCAGGTGTGTTTGCATGTACGTGGAGGGGAAATGGAACATCACTGAATGGTTTTGCCAAGAGGGAACTAAAGGATGGCGATCCAAGGAATTGGATTTTAAAAAGGTAACTCAAGTGTTCAGAGTAAGAATTGGCAAAGGGTCAATTTTTAAAAGCTCCTGAATCTTTAATAAACATAAGAAAAGAATCAAGTCAAATTTTGCTATAGTCACTAAACTCAAACTTAGATTTTATAGTTTTCCAATCATATATGAACACCAAACCTAAAGGGAGGTTTTCTTTAATGCCTATAAATAACTTTAACATCCATGATTTTCATAATGTGAATAGTTCTCTTTCTAAAGGGTTTTTCTCTGTAAACAGCTATGATGTTATCATGTCCTAAAATCTGTCATGCTGAAGCACACTGGTGCCCTGTAAATGGATTTCAAGTGGGCTAAGATATTAATCCCCTTAGTCCTTGGAGAGGACCCCAAATATATCTCTTAGCTTGGTATGCTAAAAAAATATAATTTTCAATGTGTTCCTTTATGTGCAAAAGGTTGAACCTATTCTTTTTCTTGTTAGCTCCTTGTTAGCTCCTTCTTGTTAGCTTCTTCTCTTCTACTCGGCTTCCAAGTATTGCAATGCCCTAGAACTTTGTCCTGGATCGTTTTTTAAAGTATCCCTAGGTGACCTCATTTAGTTATAAAATTTTAAATATAATACACTGACTGTGACTCCAAGTATCGCCAATCATGACCCCTCTTTAGAATTCCAGGTTCATCTTCAGTGCCCACACGACATCTTCATTTGCATGTCTAATTAGCACCACCACTTCAACATGACTGTAATGGAACCCTTTAGTTCCCTGGACCTCCAGACCTGCTTTTATACCAGTTTCCTCCTATTAGTAAAAAGCATTGCCAACCACCCAATTATTCAAGCCGCAGTCTAGGAGTGATATGTGATTCTTTCTTTTACCTTTCCTCCCACATTGATCTGTCGGCTAGACTTGTTGACTCTACATCTAGAGCATAACCTGAATCCATCCACTTTTCCCTTGATCACTAAGTATTCCGGTCTAAGCCGCCGTTCTGTCTCTCTTTGGCTGATGCCACAGCTGCCTGACTGTTCCCATTCTTCCACAGAATCTATTTCCTACCAAGTAATCATAAAAGTGTAAACCAGTCATGTCACTTCCCTGGTTAAAACCCATCACACTCAAAGCCCAAGCACGCCACCCTTGGAGTCCAATACACAGTCTTTCTCTTGCCTATCCCAGCGTCATCTCATGCTATTGTCCCCTTTTCCCATTGTGTGTTCCGGGGGTAAGGACCTTTCATTCCTTCAGATATGCCAAACTCTTCCACTCTTGAGGGTTTACACATGTGGAACCCTCCTTCTGGGACGCTCATTTCTGTCGGCTTATCTTTATCACTCATCTCCTCGCTCTTGCTCCTTCATTCTAGAATGTAAGCTTCATGAGAAAAGAGACCTTGCATGTTTCGTTGACTGCTCCAGTGTTCTTATCTCTGGTGCCTGCAGCAGTGCCTGCCATATAATACACTCTCAGCAAATCCTGCCATCAAGTGAACTGTGCAAGATTGTTTATATCCTTTCTATTTTTATGACTATGTTGATTTAGTTGATACTATGATATGATCATTTCCATGTCATTCCAGCCCATCCCTCCAATTTTCTTTTTTTTTTAACAGCTTTATTGTGGTATGTTTCCTGTACAGTAAACTACACACATTTCAGACGTACAATTTGATGAATTTGGTTGGTATACACACCCATGAACCCATCACCATAATCCAGATAGCTAACATTTCCATCACTCCCCAAGAGGTGCAGTTTTCAATTTATTGAAATTTAATTTCTCAATTTATCCGTTCCCACCCCCTTGACCCTCTGGTAACCATAAGTTTGTTCTCTATGTCTGTGAGTCTGTCTCTGTTTTGTAGATAAGTTCATTTGTGTCCTTTTTTAAGATTCCACATATGAGTGATACCATATGGCATTTTTCTTTTTCCTTCTGGCTTACTTCACTTAGAATGACAATCTCCAGGTCCATCCATATTGCTACAAATGGGCTCCAATATTCTTAATGTCCAGAATTTGCACATTGTTTCTTTCAGTAATAACCCTCTTCTCCCCACCTTTTTTTTTTTTCTTAGCTTTTAGGAATCCTTGTTTTGGTATTTTGCAAACATTTGTTTTTATTTTCATCTTTTAATTGTCGATTTTATATATGTAATTTTCACCCTTTCATGGCATATAATAGATGTACAGAAAAGAATGAAAAACATAAATATATATATGGCTCAGCGACATCTCATAGAAGGGACATCCTTTTAATAATTACGCAGGTAAACAAATAGAACAAGGTGACCTCTTTGTGCCCCATCCCATCACCACTCACTCCCTCTCTAACTAAATCAAGGTAACCAATATTCTAATTTTTATGGCACATGCTTCTCTGCTCTTCTTTAAATTTTAGCACTTCTATGTGCACCCCATAACACTAGAGACTGTTTTCTGTCCATTTTGTGTATTAGATAAATGGAGTATATGGTAT